GCAGAGCAGGCGCAGCAATGTGTCGAAGCTATCTTGTGATATTCCGCGTTGAGTTGCATTTACAAGGCTTAGACTCCGGTTGACATTGATCCTGGTTAAGAGTGTCTGGAAAAGGTATACCCTTCGATGATTTCTGACTGTCATGTAGTCCCGATAACTGAGCTCCTTATGAGTAATGAAAAAAATTGAACTTTTCAAAACGCCATCTGATCCTTCTTAGGGTATGAACTCCATCTCGCGGTGCCTGTACACAATAAAAGCAACAAGTTTTGGACTCCTAGCCGCCGCCTCCTCATCCACAAAATGACTAGCCCAGAAGATTGATATGTGGCTCCGGCCAGTGACCCCAGACCAGCGGCCGGTCACCAAGCCGACCGCTGACCGGTGCCAGGATCTTTAGTCTCCGTCGCTCAGGCTCGACGTCAGCCACATAGACGAAGCCCATGACGCTGGCGTACCGTATGGTCTCCATCGAGTCGCGCACAGAAGCATTCATGACGGCCAGGGTCCAGTGCGCCATCTCCGGCACCGGGTCCATCTTTTCTAGAACTTCCTCGTCGGCAAGATAATCCGATACTGTGCAGCTGTCAGTAAAACACTCGTCGGAAACAAGTAAAAAGGAGCGAGGAAACACACAGTCTGGGATCTTGTAGATGGTCACGGCGCTGAAATCAACCTGTTGCGTGGCCGGACTGAGCGTCATTTTCGCATCACCAAAGAAGTACTCTTTTATAGCCGCCTCTCTTGTCTGCTGCATGAACGCCTCGTCTCTCTCGACCACGCCTTCGGACTTGTCCAGCTGCACCACCGTGATGGCTTCTCCCAGGCTCGTCCTCTTCTGTCCCAAGCTCTTCTGGAGCTCGGCATTGAGGCGACCCGATCCCAAGACCACGACAACATTGACTATTCCACAGCGTTAGCACGTATTCATAAACAAACACACTCTCGCAAGAATCACACTCACCAGCAAACTCCTCAACAGCATGCATCAAAAGCTCAACGCCCGCCTTCCCCGCCCCCACAGCCGGAGCATCAACCACAACCCCGGCCCGCCTGACCTCCCCATCCTGCTCCCTCCGTCCCCTGACCGCAGCCGCAAGCCCACTGACAACCGTCTTCCACGACCCCGGCTCGTCCTCCACCCTCTGCCGCCCATAATAGTAAACCACAGGCACCTTGACCGGCACCGCCGCCGGCCCACTACTCGGCGTGTCCGCCACACCCGTGCCCCCCGTCTCCAGATCCATCAGACTGCCAAACACCGCCGCCGCCACCGTCCCCGGCAGGCTCAGCATGCCGTCCTTCGGGTCCAGCCCGACGCCGACCGGCTGCTGCCCGCCGTTCTGCCTCGTCGCCAGCGCCAGCAGGGTCCTCGCCAGCGTCGACTTGCCGCTCGCCGGAGCACCAGCCACCAGCACCCTGGGCCCCACTACCCCCGCGGCGCGCTGGTTCTGCAGCGCGAAGTGCAGGTTCAGGTAGCTGACGGCCGGACAGTCGTCCGGGTCGTCCGTCTCGGCGACGTAGTCCTCGCACGGACCCGAGACCTCGAGCGTGCAGCCGGTCAGGGTGAAGATCTTGGACTTGGCGCCGACGAAGACGTAGTTCTTGCCCAGGGCGAGCTCGGTCCCGTCGCGCTCGGCCGTGCCAGAGGTGAGCTTGACGGTGAGCTGGGTCGGGGCCGCGGCGGCTGATGAGGGGTTGGGGGCTGGGGCCAGGGAGGAGCTGGCCATTGTGTGGGCGCCGCCTGTGCTGGAGGGGAAGGGGGTCTCGAAACGCCATTCCCAGAGGGGCTTGAGGGTTATTGTGCGGGTTGTTGAGGTCGGGGTCTGGGGGTTTTAGTTAGCACGATGGCGGTTGGTGGATGGTAGGAAGCATGTGGATAGGCACCTGAACTGGGATCTGGCCCAGGCCCGGGATAGACATCTTGACGGTCTATGAGGCAGTATCGCCTGTTGGATCTTATGAATATTGTCGTGGTCACGAAGAAGAGCCGTCACGTGGTGAAGACGAGGGTGGTCGAGGATGACGGAGTGGGCTCAGCCTTGTGGGCTTTCAGACGCTAATGCAAGGCTACCTTAATCGATACTGCTACCTAGTGGGAAGCACCCCACACGAGTTTGCTGGACCTCGATGCGCTGATTTTAGGAGCTATAGCCGAGTGAAGACCGTGTCAGACGTGTCCAACGTGATGCTGCCTAGAGGTAATGTACCTTACATGTAGCTGCGAACTGAAATGTGATCTCACCAAGGTAGATGTAGGATTTGAAGCCGGCGAGAGCCACTCGCAACTCTACTCACCGCGGATAAGTTCACTGCAAGAGCAATAGTTCATGTGATAGAGCAAGTAATGTGCAGTGTTGAACGCTTTATTTATTGGTTTATCTTGTCATGCCGTCGTGATCGAAGCCAGTGGAGTAATGCAGAAGATGCTATGAACCAACGCCGTGCCTGTTCTAATTTACATGTCTCCCAATGGGTATTGAAATGGACCATAAACCCAGGAAAAACGCCTGTTTTGTCTTTAATGTCGTGATAAGGCTTGATGCAAATGGCGCATAACCCGCCCCGTCTCTCTTCTGGTTGAGCACGCAGAAAAGGGAGTTTTATCCCGTCCTCAATGCAGCAGATCATTTCTGCAAACGCACTTTTCAATCCTCTTCGCGCGAAAGCTCGTCGAAAATCCGAACCAGGCTCCTCACGCCCTTCAGGTTGTTCTCGTCGGGCCCCTGTCCCGGCGTGAACTCCGCGTGAGCAAAGTCGATCAGCTTGACGCTGTAAATGCGCGGCACGTTCTCGTCGTCGCCGGAGTCTTCATCCGCATCATCCTCTACAAGGATCAGCTCGCCGGTTTCCTCGTCCATTGCGATGCCACTATCAACGCGGAGTGTGGACCGGCCACCGGCCTCACCTCGCCCTTTCTGGGACATGGTGACGCTACTGCTCGCCTCGTCAATTGCAGCCCGAAGCGCATCGCCGTCACCCTCAAACACGAACAGGAGGCTGGCAGAGTACATCCTGCTCTCCTCGTTCTCCAAGACTTCCTGCACGTGCTTGACCTCTTCCATAAAGGCACGCGCGACCGCCTTGCCCAGCTCTTCGTCAACACCTGCCGCCTCGTTGAAGATAAACTTCCTGAACGCATCGAGCACATTGCCCTCGTTGACGGTGACTCGACCGTAATCCTTATCGTATATCCGGTAATCCTCCTCATCCAGCTCTTCCAGCTTATCCGAGCCTCGGTATACCCGCATACCGGCGATGCGGAACCCTAGCGAACCATGCGTGGTCTCCTGGCTGATCTTGTCGAACCGCTGTTTCTTCTCGAGCGGCGCGTCGTCGGCCCAGAGGCGCTGGCCTAGCTTCACATCCAGTATGTTCGGCCGCTTGTACCCGTAGGCAGCGTTTTCGAGAACGAGCGATATGTTTGTGGCGATTTTTTTGCTCTTATTCGGAACCCACTTGATGTTATCCTTGGCTGGATCCGGGTGTAGCTGATGCGCTAGTCTTATTACTTCCTCCTTCATGTGTGTGCTTATATGTTCCGCGACCGCGGGTAACTGTTCGTTGATTGATGCCATATCCGTCATATCGTTCAGCACCATTTGGCCGAAATACAAGGGCATGAGCGCTGCGAATTCCGGGTGCCCCTGGTTGGCCGACTCGTAGAAGTCAATTTCCTGCTGTGTGCACGGTTTTATAAATAGTTCGCCGTCTGCGTCGCACAATGTGCCTTCACTGCGGCGGTCGTTAGTATCCTGAGGATAGGCCTAGGGACTTCTCCCGAAGGTAAGCTTACTGTCCGGCAACGGCATAATTGTAGTCTACCAAGTCCGCCCGTTTCGGGATTTCCTTGGTGCCCATCATATTTGTTGATGGGTCTTATCCGACAGTTTTTTGGCGCGAAGGAGAAAAGGATGAGAAGAAACGCGATCGCGAGCGCATCCAGAGAGGGGAGAATTCGAGGTAGAGAAATGTAGCGAGGACGGATCATAGGTTGCGCAGGTTGTCGACAGGTCCCAATGCCAGGGTCAAGCTCCGCAGAGACATCAATCTGTCGATGCCAGAGGTGGTAACTCGAAGTTGAAATAGAGGGAAGCGCCAGGAGGACCGCGGGCGAAGGTGTAATTTTGTATGGGCGAGTACGAAAGTGGTGACGAGTTGGGCACTCACGGCAGAGAAGTTGATGAATGGCGGTTGCACCAGGCGAAGTGAAACGAATGACCAGTTTAGGTTTGTCGGAGGCGGATATGCCAAAGCGGTGCTTAGCGGATCCTCAATGCAGGCGCGGCAATAAACGTTAGCAGGCAACTTACAGAGTTACAACAGGCGGTACCTGTGCTTCGTGAATGTGTGTGATCTGAGTACATAATTGAGAGCACGGTACATCTGTAGTGACTGAGCTTCCTTCTATTCGCTATCCTAGCCCCAACACTCAGCAGGAAGCAAGGCAAAGAGGTCGCTTTATTCGCCCGGGTTACACACCGTCTCAGTGGCTTTGACAGACAGTGACAAGGGGGTTAAAGTACCTCTTGTTCCAGGGTTGTGTTAGCGGGATTCGTGCATCACTATCCCTCAAAGTGGCGGCGTTAGCGGGTGGCGAAGACTTGTGCACAGTCAACCTCGCCAGCTGTCTTGCCCTACTCGACGCTCCAGAGGCCTGAACGAGGGAATACTCGGGAAGCTCAGCCACAGCGCTTCAGTATGCCTCGACCAGTCGCTGTCACAACCGAACCCTATGTCGCCTGAACATGACCGCAGCAGACGGCCAACAACATTCAGCAGCCGTATGCTTTTTTCACTCATCTGTGACCATTCTCGCGCTGCGTTCCCGTGTTGCCGGTTGACTCGGCAAAAAGATAAACAGGACTGGTTTCGTCTCGCGTGCTGTCTACAGGTAGTGATGACTAAGTACACACAGAGAACACTAACCCCATCTGCTTGACACTCTCAACCTACTTCCACTGACTGTATGAAGCAACAGAACAGGAGGTCAAAACTATTGCAGACAGTGGAATCGAACCCACGAATGTCTCGATAATGGTGATAAAAGTGTGTAACTTAAGACCATTGCCTTAAGGCACTCGACCATATCTGCATATGGCATCTCTTGGGCGCAACAAGACGCGCCATATCGTCACAGAATGGCAAGCAGACCGTAGTGCACTTCTGCACATGTACATTTTTGCCTCACTTATAACCATGATCAAGAGGGCCCGTACGGATCCAGAGACACTGGCAGCTCATCATGTTGAGTCCTTGTGCAGCAGTGGGAACCCCGTGTCACCGAGGCCATCACTGAACCCGTTTGAGTTGCAGAGTGTATGGACAGCATAGACTTGTGTGCGACCTCAAAAACTGCCACAAGATGGAGTCATCACGAGATTATCTTGGTTCAAAGAACAGCCGGAACCGTCTGTCCTGGGGCGAGGTCGTCGTTGCTTCAGTACGTGCTACTGTGTCTGGGCAACCCCCATGGCTACCGGCCGGTTGACCACCCCTTCACTCACTCCGGCGGCTCCCAGAGATCCTAGTGGATGTTTGCTGATGCACACATTTCGCTGTGCTGTATGCCGGCGCTTGACATGCTTCTTTCATATGCTATACAAACAGCATCGACAGCGGGTACACATGCGTGCAACCGAGAGGCATTGCCTCATCTCTAGTTCTTGTGAGCTTGGTGGAGATAGTTTTCCACCTTACCTGCCTTCCATCTGCCATCAAACAAGGATCAGACTTGCCGCTATGCAGTTATGCGCCATTATGCTGTCATGGGTTGTTGGCATGATATGCACTGTGAGGACAGGGTAGGGCGGTTGTCGAGCTGGGACTCAGCCTCATCTACTATGGTTACTGATCATTCACCCTTGTCCGATTCACGCCTTGTTTGTTCTAGAAACTACCTAGGTGATCTGTGAGTTTGGTGGCCGCGGACGGGCAAACATGAAGCTACAAACTCGGGTTGGGTTAGTGTCCCGCGATCGATAGAAAATGCAAATGGCAGTTGCATTGGGTGCCATGCCAGTAGGTCACGGTAAGTCCTTCCTGATCATTCGTCTGACATCAATCAGGTAATCTACCTGATCTATCTACCTAAGGTACCTTACCCTAGATTGCTACTTCCTTACGAGTTGCTTCCTGCTTGACCGGGCTAAAAAGGTCGCTTCACTTCACTCGCGCTTCAAGGTCTTGATATTCGAGCAATTCAAGGGCCTTCTTCTCTTCCTCTACTCCGCCTCATCGCCACTTCTTCCCGCTCCTTTCACATTTTCGCCTCCTACCTTTATTGGTTAGAAGACCATAGCTTACTTGGAGCATTCCCCGCAGCACCTCGCCTCGTCGAGCTATCACGTCTTTAGGCCACAATCAGGCGACCGGCGCGCTCACAGCTTTGCTGCCAAGACCTGAAAGAGATTGGAATAGATGACCCGTGGTTCGATCCGGCATCTCACCGCAAATCGGGCGCAGTTAGCTTACCGCTTGGCTTCAAATCACTAGTGGTTTCGTCTTCTCCAGCATGTCTCCAAGTGTTGACCAACTGACCCCGACTGGGTATAAGGAAGTGTCCACTGCGCTGCGCAAGACGACGAACGCCACTAGCAATGGTGAAGAGGCTAAGCCATGCCTTAGCGAGACCGTGACTGAGTCTAACATCAAGCACAATGAGTCTGGCCAGGATCAGAGCACCATGGCAGTTGAACAGCAGACACGAACTGCGGATGGTCACGTTCAGACGGGTACTGATCGGCCCAAGAAGAGGAAGAAGAAGGGTTTCTTGCAGCGGGGCCCAACTGCTCTGACCAGAAACCGTGGGACCGGCTTCGAAGGTAAGTGTTCGACAGTGACTTCCCTCTCGTAAGGAAACTGACCATGTGTGAACAGACTACTACTGCGATCCTCCTATGACCCCACAGGAGGTAGAGGAGGAGAGGAATGACATCTACCCAGCGTAAGAATTCCTGCCCTTAGCCCCAATGTGCAGATAACTGACCAAGATGGCAGTGACCGACCATTTGCCGAGTGAGTTTTGTGGCTACCACACTGCCATGCATATGACCCAGGGCAAGCTAACGAACACAGCCGCATTGAGGAGTGTATTCAGCGATACCGCGCTCGCCGTCGTATGGACAGCGCTCGCAACAATCTCTTTGACAAGTATCTTGCTCTGGGAGGTATCGACACTACCCCCCGCATGTTCCAGGGTGTGAAGTCTCTCGATGCGGGAGGCGCAAGCAACAACGATATTCGTGACATGACAGCCGGCGATGTCATATACAGAGGTGGTACCAACCGTCGCTACTACAACGCTAGTGAGCCTGAGCATTGGGATGTGGACTTTGCCGGAATCGTCGCCGGTTACTTGTTAGTCACAATTTCCCAATCTTGTCACTATCCTGGAGGCTGTGCTGGAACTAACACTGACTAGCTCTGAACGAATCTTCAAACTTGCTGGTACCGACTTGGGTATAATCAAAATGGCTGTGGATGTGGTCGAGAACTTTTTGAACTACATTTTGCACCACGATGTCTGCCCCGAATATGCAGGCGATGTCATGAATGCCAAGGCTATCTGCCAGGAGGCTGTAGACCAGATCACTCGATCCTTCCAAGTCATCTCGGAGGGTCCGGGAGATTTCGCCATTGCATGCTTGGCTCTCTTTGACCACGGCAAGCGCAAGGTCTTTGACCCCGATAGCAGCACCTCTGAGCGCTACAATATGCCAGTCGAGCACGCTGAGCGTGTCTTTTATGCCAGTGTCGCTGCCTATACCTCTCTATTCAAGAAGCTGAGAGACAGGCCGACCAAAACTATCGAAGTTGTGGACGAGGTCAGGCAGAGTTTCGAAGTCGTCGAGATCTGTGAGCCGGATGAGAAACTGGCAGCCCTATATCTTGGCATGAAGAACCCGCAGGGAGAGACCGGAACGGTCAAGCCCTGCGGCAAACTTACACTTAAGCCGATCGAGATTGAGGACGGCTACGACAAGGGCTCTGTTCGTGGTCCGGCTCCCGGCATTGGTGACGAGGAGGAATTCGTACTCGATTGCGAGGTGCTCAAGCACATCACCGTGGGCATGAAGTTGAAGTTGATAGTCTGCATGCTTAACGTCGACTTCAAATTCATCAAGGCCTTCGCGGACGTTCGTCCCCGCTACTACACTTTTCTGCCGCAGGAGCTTATGGTCACATATAAGGAGCCTATCGCTAACGAGAGGCCTGCCCCGAGCGTTGAGGATCCGGATGTTGGTGTCGAGGGTGGATGTGACGCCAATCTTGACGCCAATCTGGATGACTAGGCGGAAGCGTCGGGGATATCTCCGGGCCCATGTTCATGACTGAGCGATGAGACTTGGGACTTTGAGACATCCCATGAATGGGGATGTAGGTGCATGTTCTGGCGATGCAAAACCTGGAGTTGAAAATTAGAAAGCCTGTGTTACGGATGACATTATACCCATTTCGAAAGAACGCTTTGGAATGGTAGGAGACCTAGATAGCCCATCACGGCTGGATAGAAACATCAAGGCATCCCTGTCAAGAACTGCCAAAATCACTTCGGTGACACAATCTCGCGATGTAGCTGGGGTATTTTGAGTTGTTTGGATCCATCTGAGATGCGTCTGCCACATGCCAGTGTTGTCCTCTGCGAGCAGCAAGGCCATCAACATTTCAGCTGCCCTCATTATAAACCTGTTAGGCTTTACATTTCATGTCAAGCCATCTTGCAAGTGCAGGCAAAGAGAATCAAAAGAGAGAGTTCTAAAAGATGAGATTCAAGGTAACCATCGCGCATGTAGTAGCTAGCTCCTCCCAACGCCAATAAAAAGTACGCCCCGGGACATTACACATCAAACACATTCCATTCCACGTCACCACACCAGTCACCATGCCAACCAGAACTCATCACCAGGGTGCGCCACCCATCCACGGGATCCACGACGAAACCCTCCGCTTCCGCCTCCTCAAACAAGCCTCGCACTGGCATCCACAAGCGGATTCCTAGTCCTGAGTCTGGACCTTGTGATCGCCAGCGACGACCTGGGCGTAGCTCGGCGGCGGCGCGTGGCCGTCGCTGCTGCCCTCACCCGCGTTCTGCTGCGGCGCGGGCGCCGAAGGCGCACCGTTGGTGCCGTAGCTCATGTTTGCGTTGGGCTGGCCGGGCTTGTTGTTCGGCTTGGGTTGTTGGCCTTGCGCATGCTGCTGCGGCGGTCGTTGCACCCGGCCCTCGCGGACGATCACGTAGACGCGGCCTTCAGCGTCTTGCTCGAGGGGCTCGTAGTCGTAGCCTGGTTCGGGGTACTTGGCGATTATGTACCAGGCGTGGATGAGGCCCGGGATCTTTGAAGAGGAGTGTGAGTTAGCACCTAGGCGATAGAATAGAGGGGAGATGGTAGACGTACGAGTCCTAGACAGCAGAGCAGGATGTTGATGAGACTGTCTGCTGAGCAGAGACCCCGTTTAACCCATACTTGATGAATCACGGTGTTAGTCCACGACTCCACGATACTGAGTGCGGGGCAGTCAAGAGGGTTCTCGTACCTGGCAAGGGGGGGAATAGAATGGCCAGAAGGCCGAGGAAGATGTCTGCGGAACACATAACAACCACGGGCATTCGTTAAAATTTTAGGATTGTTCGTCAAGAAGCGAGCGTCGGTTGTAGGATGAGATTGAAGTGAGGATCGAGGACAGTACTTGAGGTTTGGTCTTGAGGATGGTGGAGTGACCCGCAGTGATGCAACTGATCGATCACGCCGCAAGGCAAACTCGCCGGGGGTGGCGGAGCTGGAAGGGAGAGCTTGCGTAATCCACACCTGTCTGAGCTGGTCCCTGCGTCAGTGACTCGATGCTAGGCGGCGAATCAGAATTGCCGACAGATGCAGAGCGGCTGAACATCGGTTGTCGGGCTGCCAGCTGCATGTCAGCTGGCAGCAATGATCGCTGTCGGCCAGTCGGTCCATGGTTGGATCTGGAAACTTTTTGGAGGCAAAGGCGTTATCCTGGACTGGATCAGCCTTGCGGTTTCTCGCCATCACAAACTTAGTCCTCGCCATTTTCTTCCTGCTCAACACGAACCGCAGCCATGGATGACCTGGAGTC